CAGACACCCTGTCTACTTTTAAGGCTAGGCTTAAAACTCAGGTTATCCCGAGCGATCTTTATAGATATGCTGCTATAGGTTTAGACTGCTGGAGGACAGTCTAAGGACATAGGGACCCCCATTTCATCATTCTGCTTCATTCTACAATATCTCTATTCTCCCACTCTGCAGAATCTGTTAGTTCAATCTCTAATGTTCTGCTCTCTGTGCCTTTTCTCATAGTAGCTTTGCCTCGTCTGTTCCTGTTTGGCTGTGACTCCATCCTGGAGAGAAATATCAGCTGTGCTGCTGCCATCAACACTCTTGTTTATAGATATTGGAGATCGGCCTGTTTTCCAGTGTAGTCCTGTTTCCCTGACTGTGACTGGCTGGATGTGCTCTCTTCGTCCTCTCACATGGGAGCTGGCTAGGAGCTCGTCTGTCTGGCTGTGTGTTTTCTGGATGGGGCCGCCTTTTGCAGCTGCTTGAACCCCAGTCAGCCTCAGCAGATAGCCGCTCACACAGAGCCTGGTTCTGCTGGAGGTTTCTTCCTGTTAAAAGGAAGTTTTTCCTCTCCACTGTTGCTACCAGCATGCTTAGTGTGAGGGATTGCTGTCGAGTCAATGAGTCAATGCAATCAGCTGGTTTTCCTTAGATAGAAAACTTTGAATCAATCTGACTGGATGATCTGGTGAACTGTAAAGTGCCTTGAGATGACATGTGTTGTGAATTGGCGCTATATAAACTGAATTGAATTAATAAATAAGACATTTTGCCAATGGAACAAGACAATTTATTAGTGATTTCGAGATGAAGCCTCATGAGGCATTAAACCGTTTGGCCAAATTGCTTCAACGATCCCCACAGTTCATGAGGCTCCACGTAAACATGTTGCCACCTGCTGGTGTAGCACACAATTAAAGTTAGTAATAAAATCTGGGATTTTTTTGCAATTGTCCCCCCCCCCTTTTAAGTTCTTTTGAAATAGTTAATCGTTTGTGTGTATAATAAAATGCTTTGTACATATTTTTAAGTGTAGAATAATCATTTAAGGTGCACTGTCGTTCTGCCATTTTAGTGAAATAAACTCAAGCAGACAGTGAAAGTGTTTGTGAAAATTGGGCAATGATGAGCAAAATGAAAGGTGTTAGTTATTTTTATTCAAACATTATAGTTTTGCCACAATTTTTGGTGTTAATGGGGTTGGAAGTTGTGTTCAACCAATCTTTTGGCTAAACCGACCTAATTTGGCAGTGTTTTTACCCAATCTATATTTTCACTAGGGCAAACCAATGCGTATTAGTCTCATTAGCCAAAATAATTAAGTATAATCGTAATTTTCAAAAATCAAGGGCTGGTCTTGAACCATCAACCTCTGGAGAGTCTGCTCAGATTTTTTATTCTCACCAAAATAGTTTTAAGAAACTAGACTGGTTGTTTTTCCAACCAATCTATTCTTATAATCTATCCAAACATTATCCAGCTGACGGCAACTCTCCTCCAAACTCCATCATCTTGACTGAATACTGAGGCTGTTTAAATGCCTGTCAAAATTCTTGAGCTGTCTGAAGTGGCCCCGAAGTGGTCACGTGCCATGACGGTAGCGAGACCTCGGACGCCATCAATTTTGGCCCCTCCTCTAAATTAATCACGCCTCGACACAAGCTTCGCGGAAACGCCCCCTCTATAACTCAACACGCGCCTCGAAGCCTCGGCTCATCTCATAACATCAATACAATTTATATTCACCTTAAGAAAAAGCAATTGCATTGTCTCATTTCAAGAGTATATTATCTAATTATCTCATTTAAGAGTAAATATACTCATTCCTTTGGCAATTCATCTTATTTACCTATGTCAATTAAGGGTAAATACACTTAATTTGAGGAATTTTTTAGTGTGATATTGTTGGTCTCAGTCTGTTTTTCCACGAACACTCAGTATGGCATCACAATTATTTCAAAACGACACTCGCATGATTGTTAAACTACTTCTGTGCATGGTTTACGACTGCACAACAAAATCACACATGCGTGAGAAACTGCCGCTTTGAGAGGAGAAAATCTCTCTCCGTGCACACCAGCTCCTCCCACTTGCCCTTGGGATCGTGGTCGGGATCTAACCGGGGACACAATTTTCTATCCACACTGCTAACGGTTGCACTCTCTAAAGCATCTTTGCCCTCACACTGATTTTCTCCTTGCATGAAGGAAAATGTGTTTTGAGAAGTTGGGCGAAGGCATACCTCTTCTCTAAGCCTCCTCCTGATTTGGCCTTGCAGACACAATCACACGGGAAGTAGTGTCAGGAAGCCTTTGACTGACACCACTTACCCTAGGTAACCTAAACGTTGGAGAAGCCTCCACCATTGTCCCACCTCCAGCTGTCATCTTCACTTATGGATGATGAGCTCTTAGTCAAAGTCCAGTGGTTTGTTTGTTTTTTTTGTTTGTTTTTACTTTTTTTTAAATGCTAACAGAAGAGGTTTGTCTCTAATAGTGGTTCCCAGAATTTTCAAAAGTAGAATGGGAGATAGATCTTTTGGGCCCCTCTCCTGTGGAACAGACTACCAGTTTTAGTCCATGAGGCAGACACCCTGTCTACCTTTAAGGGTAGGCGTAAATCTTTCCTTTTTGATAAAGCCTATACTTGAAGTGGCTCAGGTTATACTGAGCTTTACTTATGCTGCAATGGGCTTGGACTGCAGGAGGACATAGGAACCATCCATCCATCCATTTTCTGTCTCTCTGTATCCCCATGGGGGTCGCGAGGGGTGCTGGTGCCTGTCTCCAGCTGTCTACGGGCTAGGCGGGGTACACCCTGGATAGGTCGCCAGCCCATCGCAGGGCAAACATAGGGATCCATTTTCTTTATCTTCCTAAATCTACTCTTTAATTATGCAGCATTTGTCAGTTCAACATCTAACTTTGTATCATAATTTTACATTTGAGTCCACTAGGTTAAAGTTGCCTCAGGTAAACAGGATAAGGGCAACATGGAAGGGTTTTCACTTTCTGAACCCACATTTACCAAACTCTGATGAAAAGTTGCTTCAATTGGATGGGTTGTAATACTGAACTAACACTGTTATCACCTAATTAATGTTTCCCCCAAACTGATCCTGATCAAGTAGAACACTGTAAATATAGAACATTTATTCCAAAATACAAACCATATTCAAAACGGGGTATGTTTGTTAATATTAAAGCTTGATACTTCAACTACTCTGCTGTATGTCCTCACATATGGATAAATCTAGCATGCAATGATCAATGACAACAGAGATAAATTAGGAATAAATGTATATTATGTTTATACTGGTTATTACTTAATAACTGGACATCATATCATACCTTGGCGTGCTAAATTAGCTGCCTCAGAATGAGGGATGCTGGTCACATCAATTCCATTAACAGCAAGGACATAGTCGCCCACCATTAGCCCTGCTTCCTCAGCTGCTCCATCTGAAAGTAAAGAAATGCCATGAATCACACTACAAAGAAAAATAGAACTAGTCACACGGATATTTACGCAGCCTTTAAATTAAATGATTGGTGTAGTTGCCAGATCTGCTCGGGCCCTGAGCATGCCAGTGACGTTACACTACATGTTTGGCTGATTGTTGCCACATGATGTAAAACATTGTGGTTGCCCAGACAACGACAATAACATCATGCAGCGTATGGAGCATCTGTAATGTTAGCATGTCTAATGACCAATGAGGTTTTACTTGATTGATAATAAAACTGCAAAAAAATATGTTTATAGTGTACAAAGTAACTCCAAGATCAAAGGGGAGAGCTGGGTAGCGTGCTCAATAGCTAAAAGGTTAGCCTATTTTAGCTCGGTCAGTTAGCCATATTAAGCTACACTACTTTTAACGTTGTGTCAACAACAACCATTTTTTTTTACTAGTAGACTTACTGTTGTTCTCTTTGTCTAAAATTTCTAAGAAAGTCATTTGTAAGATGTTCCATTTGTCTTCCCCATCCCTTAAAATCTTAATAAAAAGAATAAAAATATGCTGAGAATTTTTTTTCCTCTTGGTAAATATCAAAGAAGGAAGTACTTTCCCTCAAGACTGACAATGATTGTTTTCCACTTTCGGCTACTTTAAATCGCCAATGAAATGTAACATAATAGCAAAAATAGGTAACGATAAGTCGAACCTCCAAAAGAGATCTGATTCTTAAGAAACTGGTGCACTACAGTTTGTCTGTGTGGAGTTGCTGTATAATGACGTCATAAAAAGGCCCCAAGCAGATCTGATCACCCGAGCAGATGTGGTACCTAAACCGTTAGTTGTTAGTTAGTTAGTTAGTTAGTTAGTTAGTTAGTTAGTTAGTTAGTTAGTTAGTTAGTTAGTTAGTTAGTTAGTTGTTACTTTCATATAAATACAATTAGCCTTCTTGTCTAAGATCTCTGTCATTGTGTTGGCCCTGTATAAGTTTATTTTTTGAGTTTTCTTTGGTTTTATTTACATTTTGTGTTATTCTAGTTGTTTTTTTTGTTGCATTTGAGCTCTTTTGTATTTCTTGTTTACGCACTATTGGCCTCTTGTGTCAGTCTCCTTCTCCTAGCTCGCATTTCTATCCTTCTCTCCACACCTCCCAATCTGCTGATGAAGCCTGATCTTTGTTCATTCTCCCATTTATACACCTCCTGCTAAGTCACTGATTGTCATTTCTTTGCCCTTAATGTGAGTTTTCCATTGACTTCAATATTTTGTTTGTAGACTTTTGCTTCTGTTGCCCCTTTGGATATTAATCTTGCAAGAAACCACCTCAGGTTCCTTCTCTGCATTTGGGTCCTCTTCAAACCTCCACTCAACCTGACAGTCTCTACACAACTGAAAACCTGAAAATAAATAATTTAAATCGAAACCTAGTGCAATGACACTGAAGTAATTAATTATCTCAAAACACAAGAAAGCTTGCGTCCATTTGTAAGCAAAGGAAATACAAGCTAGATAAACATACCCCATATCTGACAAAGTTATAGTTTGCATTTTACATAATGCCCCTCTATGAATCATTCTGTTGACTGAGGAAATTTTAAACAAAAATACAAGTTAATTAGAATTATGGCCTCACTTACTTGTGTCAACTTCCGTCACAACAATTGGTTTGGAAAACTGTATTCGAAAGCCCCAGGGGTATTCCCCTGTCCCTTTGCATATTTGAACAGTCCTCTCTCGAACTGGAAAGAGATGTAAACATTTTTAGGAAAAGCAAGCCAGAAATTTATTTTTTAAATATAAAGAAGGAAGTGCTGGTTTTCCTGTACAGTTACACTATTATCTTACTTGAGACAGCTCGTGTTCTAACTGAAAGGCTGGTACAGAGGGTGCCTGAGCCTATGTCGTCCCCTTGGTAAATCCATGCTGAAGACTGGAATGTCTCGGTGTAAAAGCCCCTGTCTTCATTATGTTGAATTATCACATTTGTTGAAAGTGTGTCCTCTGATACTAGAGAAAGATTTAGAAAATATCAACAATTTATGCAGCACACAAGGCCTATTGTTGGGATCCTCAGGCTTGCCCACCAGAGGGCGCCGAGGATCCTCTTCTGTTCTGTGTATTTTTCCCCTAGGGCTGGAATCTTCCTGCACACCTCTTGCTAACCCTCTCATCAGAAGACCTCTCTTTTATAAGCTCCTGCCTGACCTTGCTTCCACGCCGCAGTGTTGATCTTAGTTGGTTAGCTTCCAGAATCTCTGTTACAGATTGAATCTTGGTTGTCTCTAGTGTGAGATTCAGATTCTAATCTCTCCTTTGTCTGTGCCTCACAGGAAACCTGTCTCTGGTCTGAAGCTCAGGAAGAGCTGC